AATCGCATAATCTAATTCGTTCCATCATTTTTACTGCCCTCCCGTGGATCTCACCCATCAGCATACCTCTGTATTCAATGTCCTTAAAGAAATATGGGAGTGAGCAGAGTGCTTCACAAACTGCCCCTTCAGAAATGTTTGCCCCCATAATAAACACTCCTCAATGGTTAGCAAACTAAGATTCCCTGCGTTCTGTCACTGATGAAATATTTGCTTGGTCCCAAACATTTGCCATGGTTATATAAAGTAAGGGCTGCTTGTAAAACCAACATCCTCCTATTCTGGAGGCACGGACATAGTTTTGCCTTAAGCAACCTCCCTTGCACTGTGATACTGGTGGATTTCAAATGCCACCAGAGGTCAAGATAGGTCAGAGGAACCTGCAAAGGATGTCTCAGCTTCTGAAGGATCTGCTGGAGAAGGTGAAAACTCCAGCTTGCTGGGCAGCATTTGAGCTGGAACTCTGCATTCCTGTCAAGAAAAGTGTTGTTCACAGTGGCGTCCTGAGTGCATCATGGGAAAGGCAGCCTTTTGTGATCTTAAAGGGATGATGGCTTCAGGGTTTTGCCTCTGGTGCCCCATGTGAATCTCAGCTAAAAGAAGTACGCTTTGTTGCTCAATTTCCCACACCAAGAGCTGTCACGAATAGAGGCTGGCTGTTGTTGGTTTTTTTACTCTTATAAGCAATAGGCCAGGATGCCTATTGCAGTAAATAGACCCCCTCTAAAACAAAACAAAACAAAATATCTGTACCAAACAAGCCCAAATTCTCCAACAAGAAAATATGAATTTTGTAATATGCAGAAATTTACAAGTAACTTGACTTGACTTGCCCTCTTTCTCTATGAAGATGGAATGATTGTTAAACCACTTTGAGAACTGTAGCTCTGAGGTGGGGAATTAGGGGTCTCCTAACAGCTTTCAGCATCCTTAACAAACCACAGCTCCCAGGATTCTTTGGGTGAAGCCATCACTGTTTGAAGCGGTATCACAGAACTTTAAATGTAGAGTGTGAATGTGGCCATGGTATCAGAGCCCTTAGTGTGGTTCTTTTCCACCTGTGTTTTCCCAAAATGGGGAAATTAATTTAGTAACCGCAGAAAAACTAGAAGCTGGCAAAGCATCTTTAGAGTGCTATCAGACATCTGGTTTCCTTTTTTTAAGCACCAGGACTCAACAGGCTGGTTCCGATTCTCCTTCTTTCCCTTCCACATCCCGAAAGCCCTTCACACTATCTGTCTGCATCCCCAGGTGATCCCCCACATCCCCTGTCATGGTGTGGCCTACTTTGGTGTTCCTGCTCTGAGTAACAAATACAGTTGCCATTTTCTTGATTCTAGTTTCTTTCTCTCCCTGTGAATCTCTGCCTAGCTTTTTGTTTGTTGGTTGGTTGGTTGGTTGGTTTTCTGCATACAGCAGTTCCCGGGAGGTGAAAATTTTCTTTACAGCATCATGCTTCTTTGAAAGTGGGACTTTCACTTGGCTCTCCCCAGGGCAGGACATCCACTCTGCACTCTCATTAGGAAGGCTTCAACAGCAAGGCCAAAGATGGCAGCTTCTCAGATTGGAGGTCACTTGTGACAGAGATTCATGCATCATCCCCTTTCTGCAGGTCAAGAGAGCATGCCCTAAGCTCCAGCCATAGACATGCCAGGAGGAGACAACACAAGGCAGGGAAAGGCTAACAAGGATGTTGGTTGGGTTTGTTAGCAAATTTGTTCAAACAGCCCATAAGGCTGTAGCATGAAGATGGAGACTCCAGGGTTGCAGGTTGCAGGGTTGCCCCTCCCCTTTTGCAAATATTTTTTGACACTGCCTAAATCCATCATCCCTTTCCAGTCACTGCTTCAGTACTTAATGAGAAAATCCATTTGTTTATATGCTTACTTCGTTCTCACTCTCCATCGCCTTTGGTTGCTCGCAGTGATCGTCTCAGGCCTCCTCAGCACTACACAGAATTGGCACATTACACGCAGTCATGGCTTCCCCCAAAGAATCCCAGGAACTGTAGCTTGATAAGGGTGTTTCAAGTTGTTAGGGGACCCCTATTTCCTTGACAGGCCTCCTATTTCCTGAGGTCCATGGGAGAAGGGATTGACTGTTAAACCACTTTGGGAATTGCAGCACCGGGGGCGGGGCGGAATAGGGGTCTCCTAACAACTTTCAGCACCCTTACCAAACTGCAGTTCCCATTAATCTTTGAGGGAACCCATAGCTGTTTAAGTGGCATAAGAGTGTGTTATATGTGTGGTGCAGATAGGGCCTAGAATTCTATGTGCATAGAAAGTGTGCATTAGGAAGCACTCAGAATTGAATTTTGTTAAGGGTGCCCAGAGTTGTTAGGAGACTTCTATTCCCCCTGCTGAGCTAATATCCCTAGAGTGGTTTAACGATCAATCCCTCTTCCTAGGGAACTCTGAGAATTGTAGTTCTGGGTGGGGAATAGGGGTATTCTAAAACTCTCATATTTCCCCAAAGAATCCTGGAAGTGTAGTTTGGTAGAGTATTGAAAGTTATTAGGAGTCCCCTGTTCCCCTCTCAGAGCTACCATTCCCAGAGTTCCCGAGGAAGAAGAACTGGCCATTAATCTGCATTGGGGTATGGTCTTGGTCTTGCCTCACCATTGTTGAGGAGAAAAGTGCTCTGTCAAGAACAACAGCAGGTGCTCATAGCTGGAGCTTTCACCGACCTCTTTCTGTATTCATTCCCCCTTTTAAGTTTGCTGCTGGGACTTTGGATGCAAATGACAATGCAGCTAACAAGATCAAATTGGCTATTAAAGGAAGAAAGTGGCTCTGGAGATGCTGAGGGCCAATTAACCTCAAGAGCAGGTCGTCTGACACCATCTCTCTGTGCAGCGAGGTGTGCATGAGGGTTTTCATGCGTCGGTGTTGAAAGGAGCGGAGAGGGCCCGTAGAGCATTTCGGGCGAACAGCCAGCTAAGCAGTTGCTGGTACATTTCTTTCTTTCTTTTTTGTTCCTGTTGCCGGATGCAGACTAGATTAATAACCTAGGCAATCATAGGCACAGGCCGATCAAATTGAGCAAGGCCACTGGTGAATTGTACTGAGCCACAATGAAAAGGTTGTGAGTTGGCACAGGATGCATTGATACGTTGAGGTGAAGAGTTAAAGGACAGTGTGGGTGGGAACAACTTATCGTACCTATTTGGAGCTGTAGATTGCAGAGCAGGAACTGGAATTTTGGTGAAGTTTAACACAAGAAGCTGACATAGTCAGACCTTTCATTTACCTAGACTAGTATTATCTACCCTAGTGGTTGCCAGTCTTTGGGGGCCATTGGGCACACCTGGAATTTTGACAAAGCGTCATTGGCTCTGGTCACACGATGGGGGTGTGGAGCACAATGTAAAATCACTGCCACGAGGGACTGTGGCATAACACAAAATAGCTGCTGCTAGGGCATGTGTGTCATGGGCCCCACATGGGATGTGGCATGGTGTGGCAGCCCCAGACAGAAGGGGAGAGGAGAAGTAGGATGAAGGAGAAGCAGAAGAGAAGGTGGGCACTCGGAGATGGAGGAGGAAGCTTCTCCCTTTGTGACTCTAGATGCCAGAGAAGGAGAAGCGGATCTGTCGGCTCTTGCCACCACCACTCTGGCAGAGTGCAGAGCTTAATCAAGTGAGAGAAGGGACTCTGAGCATCAATATGGAGTTGAACAGAAGGCACCAGCAGTGGAGCTGGAGGCAGTGGGGCAGGACACAAAGTCCCTAAGTTCCAGGCAGCACCTTTGGAGGTGGGCTCAGACACGTTCACCCAGAAGGAGTGCACATGCATGTGCGTGGCAGAATCATAGGGGGGAAAGTCGCATTTGTGAGCTCACAGCATCTTGTTTTTAAAAGCTTGGCAGGAGGGATGGTGTCAACTATTGGAACGTCTTCTTGGCTTCTGTTTGGTTATGCATTTCTTCCCTTGCTCATGGACCTTGGAATCTTGACTTCTGGCCCTATGCTTGCTGTTGAGCCTGCACCACTGTTAGCCTGAAGAAAGATCTCTGCCTTACTTTCAAGTAAAAGTTGCTATTGTTGTGTTTTGTGAGGGGAACCTGGCAACATGGCATAATATTTTCAGTGTGGTGAGGCTGACTCAGTTCAAACAAGAACTGGAACAGCAAACAGTCCTGAGTGTATTGTGGGTTTGGGGAGGGGGGGATATTTACAGAGACTTTTCATGAGTGCCATAGAAAGTACTGGCAGGCTCACTGGCACCTGCAGGCGCCATACTGGCAACCTGTGGTCTATTCTGACTTGCAACAATTCTCCAGGGTTGCAAGCAAAGGCAGGACTTAGAGATACCAAGGATTGAATTGGGGACTTTTTCATGCAAAGCATGTGCTCAACCACTGAGCTACATCCTCTTCTCTCCGATTGCAGGAGGATGCCCAGAAAGTTAGAATTTGCTTCCCAGAATTGTCCTCAGCAGATGCTGATGCTGAATATTCTCCACATATTAGCTGGCTGCTCATATGTTTACCGTACATTTGGTATCTGCACTTGACATCTTCTGATGATGTCCAATGTCAATACTTGGTATTCAGCTTTTCAGTGTTTGGTTTCAGCATTTGTCATTTGCCAGAATTAGACAGATGATACATTAATGGCATTTAGTGTTGACTGCTTGTGAGATTTCACGTTCCACGCCTGCCAAAGTAGTCGAGAAATGCCAGATTTTTATTTTTTTTAATGAACTTGGACTTTGAGTTTAAAATGTTGTGTTCAGAATGCAGATTTGAATTTTAGATTCAAAATCTAAGTGGTAAAACTGGAAAAAGCTAATGAATTTCTAATATTAGTACAGTTACTTCTTTGGTTGATTTCCAAGAGAAGGGTGGGCTCCATGTCCTTCTTCAAATCACTATAAAATATTGCCATCCTCTCACACACCCAGAGGAACATAGGAAACTGCCTTATATTGACTCAGGCCATTGGTCCTCTAGCTTGGTGTTGTCTATGCTAACCGGTAGCAGTGCTCCAGGGGTTCAGGCAGGAGTCCTTCCCAGGGATTGAACCTGGGACCTTCTGCATGCAAGGCTGATGTGCTACCACTAAACTATGTCCCTTCCTCCCTGAAGTTTCTTCCAGGATACCCTTCTGGTGCCATTTGCATCCCAGCTCCCCCAGATCAAAGCCTACTTTTTATGTGCAACCTTTGGATTAACTCCATCACTTGCTGTCAGCATTGATCATCAAACTCCATGGGACAAGAGACCAATGGCTTTGGTTCATGTTATTTTGGTAGGTCACCTCTGATGCTCTTCACCCTTTTCAGCCTTCATTTGTGCTGGTGAGAATAGCAGAGGAGTGCTAATGAGAGGAGGGTAAGGATTAGAGCTTTAATTTTATGGACAGCTGGGAAGCTTCTGGAACCAGATAGAATTCCTAGACTTCCAGTTTCCCTACAAAATGTGATGATGGCCACTGGCTTAGCTGAGTTTGAAAAGCAATTGGACATATTCCTAGAGGACAAGTCTTCCAATGGCTATTAGCCATGCTGGCAACATGCAGCAGTCACATTCAGAGGAAGTATATCTCTGATTACCAGTTGCTGGGATGTGATTGGGGAGGACTATTGATTTCAATGGCCCCTTGTGCCCCTTCCAGAGCCACTGTGGGCAGCAGAACAGGTCTATTTTCCGATCCACCAGGGCTGCTCTTATATTCTAAATTGTTTAGCCCTGGGTAACGGTAGGCTTACTTTGCAACATAAATTGTCTGTGCATGTTTGTGTATATATAAAAGCAACAACAACAACAACAGAGAAATAGTCCTAACAGTGCAATAAATACTTTACCCCCACTCCATATGTGCAAGCTGACTTTAATTTTAGCAATGGTCCTGAATAAATAGCAAAGCTGCTTTTGTGAAGTTCTTGTTCTGAAGACTACCTGGGGGGCTGCAGGTGTGCACAGCAGACTCTAAAGGAGAGGCCAGCTTAGTAATGGTCCTTATGCCCCATCTGGTCTCATGGATGGGGTGGACAGCTTGCCTTCCATACTTGCCAACTCAGAGGTAAGAGGGTGTCTCAGTGCAAGCAGCAGCTATGGCAACAAGACTTTTTTTTTTTTTTAAGGGGAGGAAGGGATTGTTGCTTGACACTCCAGCCTGGCATTCAGAATGACTGCCTGGCATCGCTCGCTGTGGACCAGGGCTTTCAAGCATCCAAGAAGGTAAACTGTGGATGTCCCAGGTGTATGGGGGATATGAAAAGCTGCTATTCTATCTTTGGCTTGTTTTGAGCCTGAGCAAGCGGGGGAGAGGAGGGAACGTTTTTTGTTGTTTCTCCATTGTTTGTGCTGGTGTCTTTTACCTTATCAAAGAGAGGAGTGTTTAATGCTGCAAAGAAAGCTAATTTCTTAATCTCTCTCTGCCAGGCACCATGCAAACAAAACTCAAACAAAGCCCCGGATTGGAGGGGCTTGAATGTGTGTTTGCTCAGTGACATTGACTTCTGGAGAAAAAATAATAATCTCTCCCAGAGGGCTGCAAGGTTCCTGCCACCTCTGTGTACTGTCTTTTGCATTCGAGTCCACCCGGCAACCCATAATTCAATTTTCCAACAGCTGGGCCTTTTCAGAGCCTCTCCCTCCAACCCTAAATGCATTGGCTTGGAATGAAGGGACTGATGCACAAAATGCATGGTCTTTTTAAGTCATGTGGTACAGTGAGGGTGCCCACTGGCCATTCTACCAGCCCAGGTCACCACCCCTTTCTGAGCCAATTACAGGACAAGAATGAGAGCCACATTTCCCACAAGTCACCTTTATGCATTCATTTGGCTTTGCACCCATTGATTGAGCAGACACTTTGAAATTAATCAACATGGTTACCATAGGCGCATTCATTCCAGGGGGTCTACACTGAATAGAACATAGCTGGATGCAACCTTTAATTTCTATCCCACTTTTCTCTCAAGCAGCTCAGCAGAAGTGAGGTCATAGAATCATAGAATCATAGAGTTGGAAGAGACCACAAGGGCCATCGAGTCCAACCCCCTGCCAAGCAGGAAAAACCATCAGAGCACTCCTGACATATGGTTGTCAAGCCTCTGCTTAAAGACCTCCAAAGAAGGAGACTCCACCACACTCCTTGGCAGCAAATTCCACTGTCGAACAGCTCTTACTGTCAGGAAGTTCTTCCTAATGTTTAGGTGGAATCTTCTTTCTTGTAGCTTGGATCCATTGCTCCATGTCCGCTTCTCTGGAGCAGCAGAAAACAACCTTTCTCCCTCCTCTATGTGACATCCTTTTATATATTTGAACATGACTATCATATCACCCCTTAACCTCCTCTTCTCCATGCCAATAGAAATGATGCTACATCATGTTGTTTCCATAGGGCGTTGTGTCTCAAATTACAAGGAAACCACCCCCTCCCCATAAAAAGAAATAAAAACCCTTGGCAACCTAAATTAGTATTTAGCATTTGGCTACCTTATCTTCAAAGGAAAGCCGAGCCCATGTAAAAACCCTTAGAGCCGCCCAACCACCCAATTAATCCAATCTTTGGAGGGGGGCATTTTCACACACCCCAAATGGAAATACTTCGATTCAGCACACAAACCGTTCACCACTATCCCCTGCATTTGCTACATTCTTATTTCTACTGCATGCCCATCTTGTTCCAAATCTCAGCCCCTACCTTCTTCATGTTCCCATTTCAAGATGCCTCCCCCCTTTCTCCAATATATTTGCGTATTTTCAGGCAGGAGCTGTAGCTCAGTAGCAGAACACGAACAATGCAGGCAGAAGTTCCCATGTGCAATTGCTATCATCTCCGGGTAAGGCTAGGAAACATCCTGCCCCCCCCCCCGTGACCTTAGAGACCTGCTGTCCATCATGCGGACAATTCTAAGGTACGTGGGCCAACCTTGTGACTTGGAATCAGACAACTTCTCCAGTCTCCTATGTGGAAGTATGGGTAAAATGTTGCACATTCAAAAAATAATTTAGGAAGAGATGTTTTTATTTAAAAGCTCCCAAATGCAGGTAGCAGGAGCCCTTATTCACATGGCAAGTGTACAAAGATTAATATAGGGACAGTCAACGATGAAACCCTAATGATGGCGGGGGGAATGCACTGAGGGGTTGTCTGGATGCAACCCCTTTGTTTCTCTCTTTCTCTCTCTGGACCACACAAACTGCTATGTCTATCCAGGCCAAGTGCTTCTGAATTATTAACACTGTAATTAATAATAGAATTGGGTCTGAGCCATCCCATTCTAAGTCTGCTCTGTGGCAGAGAAAATCCCAACACAGCAGATTCCGAGATCCAATTTGCCTTACCTGTTGGGGCTCTCTCTCTCTCACTCTTTTCAAAAACTGCATACATTTTTGGATTATAATTAAGACTTTAATAGGTTTACTGCTTTATTTCACTGTAAGAATGGGCACATTGGTGGCATCTTGTCCAAACAGCATGGGCCAATTAAGCGCATGTGTCCATCCCTCCTTGAAAGTAACATCTGCTGAAGCCTGGCATGTGTGAACGAATAATGGCTATGGCTGCAGCATTTTGTGAGTTAATCAATTTAGGAAAGTTTTAACTGATCAAAAAGTCCCACCTTTTTGAATCAGCAGATTTTTTGAAGAATTACTATTAATACAGTTGCTCAGGAAAACTGTGGATGGAAAGCACAACCTTAACAGAGGTCCCCCTCTCCCCACCTATTCAATTCATAAGGTGGGCAGGTTTGCACATAATGCTAAACCATGGTTTATTAAAGTATGGTTTATAAAATCATGGCCTAGTGCTATGTGTGAACCTTGTCCAGCAGCCTAACTGGATGGCAAATTCTTATTAACACTGGCAACTGGCATGTGCAGTTGCAAGCCAGAAGATAGAGTCTCCCCAGACTCTAGACAGAGGGGGAGCACATTTCTTATAGCATTAAAGGGAAGTGATTTGTCTTTTGCAGATCCACCTTACTGCATGTCATTCTGCCACTTGGGGACACTACTGATTAAACAGTAATTGGCTGGTCAGGGAACTGATAGAACATTCCTCATTGTCACAGAAAAAACCAGAAAGCAAGAACCAAGTAATTGCACCAGGGTTTTAGGAGAGAATACTTCCTTCCCCGAGCCACTATTGAGGCTCCAGAGCTTAAAGAAAAACTCCCAGCATTGTCCCATCTCCTCTTTACACCTTCCTGTCTTCCCCACAGAGATCATGGGGCTAGATAACCTGCTCAAAGAGGGCAGCCTTTCAGTGCCAAAGAGAACATCCACCATTAACACCTGTTCTCTGGAAGCCACTTCTGCCCAGACTTTGTCCTGGACTGACATGCTGGAGACGATGCCATTTAGATGTAGCATGGGTCTCTTCTGTTTTGTCACCATCTTTGGTTGTAGCTGCATTTGAGGCTTTCAGTGGAACCGGAGAAAGCAATACTAAATATGATTAAAACATACAATATGTATGAATTGAGGGAAATAACCTCGATTTGAGGGGATTTAATGGTGATGCGTGCCAGTGATGGGAAAACAATATAACTTAACAAGCTAAGAAAGTGGTCTCAGGGCCTTTGGATTTGCTGGGTTCAAAGATATGTTCCCATGACCTCAGGACTGCATTGCCAGAGGATGGCTAGCTTGGGTCAGTCGGCTATCATGGAGATTGCTGCTCCCACCTGTCAGTGGGGGAGGCAAATTTGCCACACCCCAACTTCCCTCCCAAGAAGATGCAGGTGGCTTGTTCTGCCTGGGAGGAGTTGGTCTGGCCATGTGCTCCTTCTTGGAACCAATCAGAGGGAGGAGAGCAAGCTATATAAGCTTGCTCCTCCCCAGACAGCTTAGTTTGCTTCTTGCAGTGCCCTCCGTCCCTCGCTATGTAGTATGGGCTTTGCTAGTCACCTGTTTGGGGGAATTTGGGGCAGGGAGCCTATTTCATACTGATGTGTTTGGAGTAGCATAGCTTTGGTTGGTTTAATTGGCTGTCAGTCTGGACAGGAATGACAAGTTCAGAGTTGTGGGAAAATCAAATATGGCAGTACTGGGTTAAGGACACTTTTGCCATCTGATGCTGCTTTGTCTGTGGTCATTTGGGGAAGGGGGTGCTGTTTAGA